ACGCTCTTGAAAAGTACGGCCTGAGGGTGAGTAGGAGTAAAACTGAGTATTTGAATGCACTTTCAATGGAAACATGGTATCTAAAACTATCTGTATTGGGACAACACCTATTCCTACAGTCATCATCATCATCATCATCACAGCCCTTCACAAGTCCACTGCTGAACATAGGCCTCCCCCAAGTAATGCCACAAAGCACGGTCCTGAGCCACCTGCATCCATCGACTTCCTGCATACCTTACCAGGTCGTCACTCCATCTAGTGGGGGGTCGCCCTACACTACGCCTACCGGTACGAGGCTGCCACTCGAGAACCTTTCTTCCCCATCGGTTATCGGTTCTTCGAGCTATATGGCCGGCCCATTGCCACTTCAGCTTACTAATCCGTTATCCAACGGATTCCTACAGTAGATAAATTTAAATACTTAGACTCTATGCTTACAACAGATGCGAACGTTGACACAGACGTGGCCCATAGAATAAGTGCCGCGTGGTTGAAATGGCGATCACTTACAGGGGTATTATGTGATCCACGTATTCCCATTAAAACTAAGGGCAAAGTTTATAAAACCGCAGTACGTTCCGCGTTTGGACAACAAAGAAGACGCATGAGCAAAAGGTCCATACTAACGAAATGAAGATGCTTAGGTGGGCGGGAGGTGTGACTCGACTTGACAAAGTCCGTTATGAACATATACGTGGCAGCTTTAAAGTCGCACCTATTACAGACAAAATCATTGAAATTCGCCTAAGATGGTATGGACATATTAAAAGACGCAGCGAAGATCATGCAGTTCAAATAGCTCTAAGCTTGCCAGAAATAAAGAGAAGCAGAGGCCGCCCGACAGTGGCATGGTGGTCTAATATCGCAAGAGACCTAAGGAAAGCTCAGTTGCCGGATGTGACAACCCAAGACCGTTTGTCTTGGCGCAGACAAGTGAGGAGACCCGACCCTAAATAACGGGACCAGGGATGGAAGAAGAAGACTTGATAAATTTAGGTGAAGTACACTCGAGCATGAAACCAATTTAAAATAAACTTACACATTCAGTGTGTTTATTATTAGTAAGTAAATCTTTTAATTATTTACGTTTTTGTGTTTCTTAGTTTTTTTTTATAGAATAAGGGTGACAAACGGGCACTCAGTCCACCTGATAGTAAGTGGATGTCGTGGCCCATAGACATCTACATTTATCCTCAATTAAGAATCAAAATGCAGAATCGTTGTCACCACTGAGAAGTACAGGACTGAAAAGTACAGCAACGACGCATTAAAAATGTTTCTCTAAATTCTCATCAACGGACTTACATCGTCGTTGACCGGGTATTGGCAGTGTAAGAATATCCATTAATCTAAATGTGTTCTTGAATATCAGTCAATTTCAGGTACCTGACAAGGTTCTGAAATAGTTCTTACATGATTGATGACACAAAGCCGAGCCGCCGTGGTCTAGTATTGACGGTCTACGTATTTGTTTATCTCTGGTGACGTTCTCAGAAATCATCTGGCGACTTTAAGAAAAGCTTAAAAGCTTCTCATAGCTTCCGATAGATGGCGGTTTAATCATTTCGAAAGGACGCTGTGTGAGACATGTGGCACTGCGATAACTTAAATCTGATGATGGATTTTATATATGGTAGAGCTATATAATGGTTCTAACACGAATATGTCGGCTGGAAATGCAACTGTGTGTCGTTTGGTGAGTGTAGAATGAAGACCCTTTTTACTGGAAACGATGCATCCCATCTTATTCCATGAGTGTGATAGCGTATTTGTATTTTATTCCTTAAATGATGGTAGGCAGGAGAAGCTCTTCAGACTAATTTTTATTTTTAACTTCCTGATACGTCCCGCAGTTAAGGACTACGTCTCAAGATCCACATGTCTCTGGTTCTAACAGTACCTAAGTGTAGTCTATTGAAACAATAATGTAAAACCCCTGTGTAATGCTGTTTATTCATAAAACCTTATCTAACCGCGTCATTACCATGTCGATAAGTTATCGATTACAGTGCGCACCCATATCTGATTTACTGATGAGGCAACGTCCGATAAACCGATAACGCTTCTTATGAAATAGCGAATATTACATTGATTCATAAAGTTTATTAGTTTAAAAAAAAACGAGTGTGCTTATGACCACATGACTGAAGTAAAACTTCTGTAGCTCCATCTGTATATATTAATTGGCCGCCGCGATCGTGTGATTTGACACTGTTGGACTTCTTTCTTTGGGGATATTTAAAAGAAAAAGAGTACGTCAATAAGCCAAGAACAATTTGTGAGCTAAAGGATGAGATAATTTGGCACTTTAACGACATCGAACTTCAATTATGCCTCAGAGTCATTGAAAATATGGACCATCGGAAAGAAGTATGCCACCGAAGCCGTGACGAGCATTTGTCTGGTAGTTTGTTTCACACATAATTGTCATAGATCCTTCTGTCATAATAAAAATACATACATAGACACTCACGTCTGTCACCCAGAGGGGTAGGCAGAGACTACCGACTTCCATTTGGCACGACCCTGACACACCTCTCTCGCCTCCTCCACATCCATATATCTACGCATACATGCTCGTCGGTTAAGGGTGCTCCTAATTTGGCCCGTTTTCAATAAACCGCTAATTTGGTCGATACATTTTCGCCTAGGACGTCCCTTTCCGACTCTTCCATTCTTTTTCTCTCTTTCCTCATTCATTCCTCCCACATGACCAAACCACCGAAGCATTCCTTTCTTAATCTTGGTCACAACATCATCATGCACACCACACTCTCTCTCTCTTCTCTTATCACACAATTTCTCACCTTGTCATTCAGATTCAGCCCTAACAAACTCCTTAACGACCGAATTTCTACTGCGTTTATTCTACTTTCGTGCTTCTTCTGCCACACCCAACTTTCACTACCATACGTTAAAGTAGGGACCAACACAGCATTGTGAATTGCCATACGTGCCTTTTTTGACACATTCTGACTCTTCTCAATAGAGTGTAGAGCCCCATTTACTATATTTCCTGCGTCCACCCGTCGTTCTATATCTTTATCATATCTTCCATCCCTGCTAAATACGCAACCAAAATATACAAACTTATCTACTTGATTGATCAACTCCCCTTCTCTTCTTGTTTCACATATCGTTTTACTTTCTTCTCTTTCAAAAACCATAACTTTCAAAAACCATAACTTTCGACTTTTCGACTTACTTGCGTTCACTTTTATACCCCTTTCTTTTAATGATCTGTTGATTAATGTAACCATCATTTGCAACTCGGCCGCCGATGACGCAAGAATAACTTGATCATCGGCGTACAAAAGGCATTTGACGGTTAACTCACCTATTCTTAATCCGCATTCTTCAACTTTCCAATTTTCCAAACAACTGTCCATAAATAGGTTGTACAGCCATGGGGAAGCCACACAGCCCTGCCTGATACCTTTATGGATGCCAAACCAGTCCGAGTAGACCCCATTGATCCTAACACAAGCAGTAGAGTCGCTATAAAGAGACTTCAATGCCTGTATCAAGCCAGTGCTCAACCCAAATGAGTTCAGTGTTTGCCATAGCACATCCCTGTCCATTCTGTCATAGACCTTTTCCAAGTCCCTGAACGGACAAAAAACTTTTTGGTTTTTGGCCAAAAACTTCTCCATGACCATGCGCATGGAAAAGACTTGATCTGTACATCCCATTCCCTTTTCTAAATCCCGCTTGCACATCCCAAAATTTTCGATCAGTTTCTTTCATGACCCTTTCAATCAGTACCCTAGCGTACAGTTTTGCCACAATGCTAAGGAGGCTGATATCACGGTAGTTTTTACAGTCCTGCTGTGACCCTTTTTCTTTATATATTGGGACTATCACGGCTTTGCACCAGTCTACGGGTACCCGCTTCAGTTCCCAGCATAAATTAAACAAGGTGTGTAGCAGGCCTGCCACGATTTCCTCTCCAGCCCTTAGCATTTCGAGTGAAACTCTATCATATTTGGCTGCCTTACCTGCTTTCATGCTTTTCATTGCTTTTTTTCTTATTTCTTCTTTCTTCTTCTTTCGGAGTTTCTATTTCATTTAGTTCATACGTCGTCTCCTCACTCATAAATACCCTTTTAAAATATTCCTTTCATCTCTTTAAACTCAAGACTTCATCATTCAGAATATAGCCATTCTAGTCTCTTATAGCATTCATTATAGGCTGTTTTGAATGTCTCCTGGCAGTTCTTACGAGTATCCAGAACATTTTAATATTTGCTTGGAAGATATCCGATATTCTTCTATCACTCTTATCCGTTCTTTCTTTCTTTTTCCTTTCAACTACTTCTTTTACTCTCTTATTTAGATGTCTAAAGACTGCCTTTTTTCTTTCAATATCATAATTCATACCGCTAGAATTACCTGCCTTTGTTGCTAGTAAATCTAGCCGTGCTCTCTTCTTTGCTTCAACTTCCATACGTATCTCATCATCCCACCATAACGTATTATTTTTCCTTTCATTCTTTCTCTTAATAACACCACATACTTCGGTAGCTGCATCCACTAAACCTTTATTAACATTTTGCCATACATTCACCATGTCTAACTCATTCATACATAATTCATCCAAACCACTTACCTAGGCTGCACTAAAAGTATCGGGAATGGAATATTTCCACTGTTCCTGTCATATTAAAATCTTTTTAATTGAAAACTCCTTGGTTTTCTCGAAAATCGATAATAATTAATAATTTATATTTGTAAAAATTTATAAAATTATAAAAAAACGTAATTTATAATTTATTTATTAATAAATACTAATAATAATAATAATTTCGTTATGTTTTTCCTTTAAATGATATTATAATCATTTCCAACTAGCACACAACAGCCCGCTTTTATTGAGACAACTTAACGATCGCAGCGTCCCACTTATTTTGTCCATATTTCTGGGACACTATATTCTACAGCGATCGGTCTCTTTTTCTCTAACCTCCATGTAGGAAAACCTCAATGACAGGTGTCAGATGTCAGGCGCTGCCAGAGTCAGCTGTTGGTCTCTTCTACCTTCTAGTTGGAGTAACTTTAGTTCTTCCCTTTCCAGTTTTGTGTTTTTATCAATATCAAATTAATGTATTCTTTTTAAAATGCGAAGAGAGTTTATATTACTTTTATTAGGGATTATTTGTATTTCCACTCTTTCTTCTCTTTTGTCCGGATATGTGCAAATTGAGGCTGATAAAGTGCTATTGGATACGGTGATCGGAGCAGTAGGTGCAGGAAACTTTTCTTACTGGCAGTTGGGACACACTGGACCTTTACTTGTGGAACTAACTTCCCTGTCTGGTGACGCCGATCTTTACGTATCAGATAGCATTAGGTGTGTTTATTAATGAAATATTTTTAGTACATTTGTTCATAATACAAAGGTTTCTTTAGTATCCACTAGCCAGCCATGGGCTGTAAAGAAGATTATTAGGTGGTAATGTTCTCTTTTATAGAGATAATTATTGAGAAATACTAATTTGTAGTTTTTTTTTGTAAGAAATATGTATAAATATTAATTTTAAATAATATGTGGTTTATTTATATTAAAACTTAAATTATTTATAAAACTATGTTCAAAGTTGAGTCAAATTACTGTCTGAAAAGATATTACTTTATATGAATCAATTTACATCCTAGGTTTAACTTAAGTTATAAATTATAACCATGACCTAATATGTAGCGGCTGTGTAGTAATATCCACTGTGATATAACATGAGTTTCTTAAGAGGAAACAGAAGAAGGAAACAATATAGTTTGCAGCACCATGTGCTAATAACAATTAGAAAATGACTTACCTACCAAGCAAGGCTACTATGACAAACATTTGTATACAAGGCAAATGAGATTATATGGCTATGGTAATGGCATTCACAGCTGATAAGTGACCGCCAATACGGTTTTCGCCGTGGCCGGTCCGCTGGTGATCTTCTGGTCTACCTAACTCATAGATGGGCGGAGGCAGTAGAGTCCAAGGGGGAGGCATTGGCCGTTAGTTTGGACTTTGCGAAGGCCTTCGATCCGGTTTAAGCTTCTTTCGAAGCTCCCTTCCTATGGGCTTCCCGAGAAATTGTGCGATTGGATCACCAGCTTTCTTGCAGATCGGAGCATCAAGGTCGTTGTAGATGGTGCAAGCTCCTAATCCTATACCAAACATTTCATGGCTTTTAGCGTGACTAAAGATGTTATGGAAACAAATAGATTAGTCTTTGTAATGGGCTGGAATATGATAAAGCATGTGCTTTACATGATAATATTTTTAGCAGTAATTTATTTGTCTATTTATTATAATAATCTAATAAAGCTTTATTTCTCTATACATTTACAGAGTTAAAAAAAATAATAAACAAAATGTACCAAAAACAGCAGGGACTGGCTGAAAACCAGTGTTGAGCATAAAGCCCAGTGAATATTGAGCCTGTTCCTGTTACCTCACTTTATACTTGTATATTTACTAATAGTAGTTAAATTTTTAATTGTGAATGTCCATTTTTTATTGATTTTTTTAAGTCTATACTTATGTGTATACCTACTAACCTAGTTTTCATTTGTAAACCTATTATTTTGTGGCAATAAATATTATATTACTTGTTATTATTAAATACATAGAACTAATAGTAGGTATTTCTTGTTTTATGTAGTCCCTCTTGGGTAAAAGCCTCCTCCAATTTGAATCATTCTTCACGGTTTTTGGCAATTTGCATCCATTCTTCTCCTGCTATGTTAATAATATCATCCATCCATCTTTTCCTTTGACAACCTTTTTTTTTTGTAGGATAAGGTGCCGACCTACACTTCTCATGCCAAATGAGCCCTTCCACTTTGTTGTTTGGTAGGTCCATCTTTTGTCCTATGTGTCCTGCCCATTTCCATGCTACCATGCCCATTTTTGTATTTGGCTATGCTGAAGTGGATCCATTAATTTAGTTATCTTATAGATATCTGTATTTCTTGTTTTTTGTAGTGTCTATTAATTACAGCCTATCTAAGTCCTCTACTGAAATAAAGGCCTGCCTTGTAGATTGCCTGATAGGCCGGGTATTTGCCATAGCTGCCACTTGGCAAGCGGGTTGGCAATCGTAGTTTTTTAATTTAAATATAAGTAGGAACACTTTTAAGACAAGATGGTTAATTTAAGTCTAGGAGGGAATTAAGTCAGGAAAGTTTTATACATGGTAGAGCCATGCTGCAGTCATATTAGTAGTATAGTTGTAGCATGAATGGGTACGCTCGACCGTGGAAGGACCACACTCTCACAGAATACTAGCGTAAAATAGCAGCTTAATGCTGATGTGTTTCGCATGGTAAGTGTAGAGAACCGGAGACCCTTTTTATTGGAAACGAGGCTTTCCATCTTAGTCCTCACGGGTGACAATGCATTTAGATTTGTAATCAAAGATAGAAGTAGATGTATATGGGTCACTACAACCACTCACTATCAGGTGGACTGTGTGCTCGTTTGTCACCCTATCTTATAAAAGAAGAGACTTTAGATTAAGAGAGATTAATCCAGCGATAATGTGACAAACATTTTACAAGACGGTGTTGGATTATTGAATTTGTCTGACTATAGCGTACTGCCACAGCTCCCTGTGGTAGTCAGGAACTTTAAAAAAAAGTATCTTGTAATCCGACAGATTACATATTAAATTTAAAATAATAAAAAATAAAAACGTCATGTGGTGCACAATGAATACCTAAACAATAAACAGTAAATATAATGTTTCAATAACAGTAAATATAATGTATTCCCACTAGGCCGCTACCATATTCAAATCAGTGTCAAGCTAGATTAGTGGTGGTGCGAACCAATTGCAATCTGCTTGTCCTCGTATTTGTGATGGACACCTCCCCTCGTGGCGGATTCATAGCGTGACTCGAATTTATCTACAAGTTAACGACATGTCGGATTACAGATTGGTACAGATAAGCCAGGGGCCGGATTACAGGGGGTACACTGTATGTATATCTAAAAAACTGCTTGCTTGACTCGTAATAAATGTGTCTATTCGCTTTCAGACCAAGCTATGAGACAGACAAGAACAACTTCAGTTCAGTTACATGCGGGCCCGACATGGTCAATATACCAGCAGACTTTCCCAGGCCAGTAGGTAATCTCATATTTTAAATTATATTGCATGCTCGGAAAAGTGTGAGATTTGGCATGGTTAAATTTTATATTGAGGAGGAGCACAGAAAGCTAATATTATAAACTGGATGACCTTTCTTACGGTCTGGAAAAAAATATGGTGTAACATGTGGACTGATTAGAAGTCTATGGCAATGATATTTTACAAAAAAATAGAAACCAAAATTTTGAATTAAATGAAATAAATAAATTAAAATCTATCGAAATTCAAATCATATCCACCCTAGCCTGTGATATTATTTTTTATTTTAGATTATTCCAGACGGTATAAAAGGTTATCCAGCATAATATATGTAACAAATACATTAAATTAAAAAACATAGTCCTGATTATCAGGAATATAGAAATAACTAAATATGAATGAATTTCCAGGTATAGGTGTATTTGGTCACTGGTCGCACTTTATATCAGAATACAGCATCCAGGTATTCCTGGATATGTCAGTTGTGCTAAGTGAGGAACAGTTGTTGACAATAGAGCGGGCACATCAAGGCAGTGGGGAAGGACAAGGTGAATGATTTATTATTAATGCCAATATAACTGTTAGCTCAACAATTTTTTTTTGTTATAATAATGTCCTCTAGTCCGAATTTCGGTCACGGCGGCCAGCCTCAACGGAGGCTAGCCATCGGTGCAGGACAGGATTATAGTGCCCAAGTGTATGCGCAAGCACAGGTGCACTCTCTATTCCCTCACTCTCATAATCCGATGGGACGGTAAATCGACACGACCGGACAGATCAGGCGCACAACCAACGTCTTTACGTGCTTTCCCAGGCATGGTGGTGAGACACGCCCAACTTCCTGGCTCCGGACTGAGAATTTCTTGATGGAAAAACTCAATAATTGATTTTTTGTACCCGGGACCCGGGATTCAAACCCAGGACCCCATGATCAGCAGTCGCACTTCCACCACGAGACCAACGAGGCAGTTATTTGTTATAAGGCAGTCACAAACAAACTAGTAAACCTGGTGGTAAGTGGTTCCTGCAGACCTTTTTTTTACAGGATAGGGTGACAAACGAGCACACGGTCCACTTGATACTAAGTAGTTGCTGTGGCCCATAGACATCTATCCTCGATTACGAATCAAAATGCAGATGCGTTGTCACCCGTGAGGACTAAGATGGAATGCCTCGTTCCAGTAAAAAGGGTCTCCGGTTCTCTACACTTACCATATGAAACACAGGAGCGTTAAACTGCTATTTTACGCTTGTATTTATATGAGAGCGAGGTTCTTCCTGGTCGAGCTGACCCATTTTTTTCTGTAAAGAAGTTCTCAGTAGCTGCCCGGAGTCAGGAAGTTGGTGGTGTTTCACCTCAGAAAGCATGTAAAGCCATTGGTCTCTCTCCGGTCGTGATGGCTTGTCGCCCCTTCGGACTATGGGAGTGAGGCAGTAGAGAATGCACTTGTGCTTGTGTACTCTTGCACTATAATTCTGTGCTGCGCAGATGCCTTGTCTCTTTTTTTACAGAAGAGGGCCATTAGAGCAATATATAAATTAAAAGCAAAAGAGTTACTGAGACAAAAATTTAAGGAAATTAATATATTAACTCTGGCCTCTCAATACATTTATGAAAATGTAATGTACATACACAAAAATAAAAGTAGTTTTGCAAAAATAAGTATAAAATAAGTGTAAGTAGTACCAGTTACTCGACTCCACCAAATCAGTAATTCATTCCTGGGGCGATGTATACGCTTTTACAACAAAATCCCAGAAAATATACAAAATTTCTCACAAGCAAAGTTCAAAAATTTTATTTAACTAAGTTTGTATAAAAAGGGTTAATATAATATTAAGGAATTTATGGATGATTATAACCTCTTTGAAGGGTGATCGCTATAAAGCTATTTCTAATTTGTGTTGTGTTGTAAATTGTAAACTAATTGAAAAAAAAAAGATAGTCCTGCTGGGTTTCTTGCTGGTTCTTCCCAGGACAGAGGTGTTTTTTTTGAACCAGTGGTAAATGAAAAAAGTGACTTTCAATAAGTATTGTTTATAGTCTACATTGAATAAAAAAGTTACTGTTTCTCCGTTGAGACTGATCGCCGTGACCGAAATTCGGTCTGAAATGATTTAAACGTTATTTCTGTCTGTTTAGATATGGAGGATAAAAGAAGCAAGGAGAATATCGTGACGAGGAAGACCGAGGACAACAACAAGCCAAGATTCCTCAAGCTGTTGAACATTCTGGATATGGTCTTTGAAATGTTTGTGCTGTAGACTTGGGACTCTGGAAGTGTCCAGCTGGTGGACCTTGGCTTTCTCTTGTCTCCCTGAGTTGGTGGAACTTGTTATGTTCTAACTGTGGGAAAGTTCAGGATGAACTCGATTTTGTTTCATGAGTTTATTTAAAATGTTTACAGTAGACAATCTAGCACATTGTTATTCACAAATGTTGGTTTCTATTAGGTTTAGATTGAATGACTCATGAGGAAAGTCCGACTCCCTGGCTATTCAGTCATCAAATGTCTATAGGGGGCAAACGGGCAAGCGGCTCACCTGATGGTAATGGACTATGTAAAAAAGAGTAGGCTCTTTTCTTATAGGTCCCTAGACTTTGAGGACCTTTAAGAAAAGACGACGATTCGACTGTATTGGTCTGGAAAGAGCACTGGTGGTAAATATTGAATAATATGCCAATTATACTAGTGTCGAGCTTGATGAATTTATCTTAATTATTAAATGAATCAATGTATTCATTTATAATTATATTAGAATCAAATTACAATATTTATATGCCTCAAAACATAGCCTACCTACCTGACGTCCCACTTGGGCAAGGAAGCGTCATACTGCACTCGATGCTTGTTTGCCGACTTCACGTATCTTCCAAATATATTTTTTATCATTACTTAGACATGCAAGTTTCCTCGCATTGTTTTACTTTATAGAGCACATGGTAAATCAGCACTTAAAATTGCAATTAACAGTTTCATTGGTGCCGGCAGGAATCAAATCCAGAACCCGAAACATAATTTGCATATTAAATGACAAATAGAACATTAGACTTTACCATTACCAATGTTGCCAGAAAAATTGAATAAAACTAAATTTACGGATTCTCTCGCGTTTATTTAACTGATTTTACTTACTTTTAATTCCCGACGTTTAGGGTGCTTTACAGCACCCATGGTCAAGGGGGGACTGAGATGTTTGACGTCCCAATGTCATAGTTAGTCCGGCTACCTTCAGTTTTTGAATATTAATTTTTGGTCCGATTTACGCAAAACGAACTTACATTATCTTGAAGTCTTGCAGTGGTATGCTTGGGTTTGGGTTTAATTTTGTTAATTATAGGATCCCAAGCAGATGGCAGCACCCAACCATCTTCTCTATTGAAATTTGGATGTTTTTTAATTTCAATAGCCTCGCGTATCATCCTTGGTGGGAATCGGTGTTCTTTTGCGAAGATTTGTGGTTTATCAAATCTGATGTAATGGTGGGGACGATCTTGAACATGTTCACAGACTGCAGACTTCCCGGAGCGTCGGTGCTTCACGTCGAAACGTCGGAATTAAAAATCAGTTAAATAAACGCTATAGAATCCGTAAATTTAGTTTTATTCAATGCGTAGTGTTCGCGTAAATTTAAGAAATCATTAGCCAGAAAACGCTAAAAATAAAATTTCAAGTAAAATATGCAGAAATTGTTTAGTTTTATTATCTCTAACAGAACTTAGCAATAATTTGGAAAATATGTGGTAGACAAAATGTAGGGCGAGACGACGACAGTAAAATAAAAAATGTATCCACTTCAATAATTTCGTATATTATAATTTATTGAGACTTACAAGAATAAGTAAATAAAATACAGTGTAGTAAAATCAAAGAGATATTTATCTGCATGAAAAATCAACAATCAAGAAGTAGAAGGTACCGGAAGGAAAAAAGTAGGACTATCTGCAAAAAGAAATGAGATGCCATCAAAAACATAACTTGTAAAAAACCAAGTCTCGCAACTCAGTTCTTCTATCGTAAAAAGTTGTGAGATCCATGTAATACCAAGTTGGTTTACTTATTCACTCCCTACTTAAGGGTCCTTCTGTCTTAAGTTATTACGTAATTAGCTAACATAACAACATCTTGTTTTGACCATATCAATATTAAAAATCTTTTATATTTTAAATAAATAGATTGACTTGGGCCATAGCATGAAAACACAATGTATCTCACAAGTAATACGTAATATTATATTAAATTCGATTGCTTAGTGCGATTGCCAAGTCAATCTATTTATTTAAAACATAAAAGATTTTTAATATTGATATGGTCACAACAACATGTTGTTAAGTTAGCATAATAACTTAAGATAAAAGGACCTTTTAAGTAGAGACTGAATAAATTAGCCGACTTGGTATTACATGGATCTCACAACTTTTTACGGTAGAACTGAGTTGCGAGATTTGTTTTTTTTTACAAGATACGAGTATGTTTTTGATGGCATCTCATTTCTTTTTGCAGATTGTCCTACTTTTTTCCTTCCGGTAGCTCCTACTTCTTGATTACCAACAAAGTACATATCTACACCTTTTATTCCATTATATTATACATATACAGGTACACTGATTCATTCACTGCAAATGTAACTTTGTAATCCTATATATTTATATGGAATTACAAAGATTAATTATGCAGGTAGTGTATCTAGAAAACTGGACCGAAATTGAAAAATATTTTAGTTTTTTCTTGATTTATACACTAAACACTAATTTTGTTCTAAGTTTGACCCTTCTATGTCTGCTAGAAGTACCTTAGAGTTTTGATGATCGGTTAGTCAATAAGTGACAAAATTAAGAAACTTTGACTAATGATTTCTTATATTTACGCGAACATTGCACATGATTAAAACTACTTTTACGGATTTTATCGCGTTTATTTTCACTTTTTATTTTTAACTTTTTATTTTTAATTCCCGACGTTTCGGGCGCTTTCCAGCACCCATGGTCACGGGGGACTGAGATGACTGACGTCCCGATGTCATTGTTAAACCCGGAGTACCTTCAGCTTTTTTAATTATTGTTTATGGTCCGATCTATGCAAAATGAACTGACTATGTCCTGAGGTCTTGCAGTGGTATGCTTGGGTTTAGTTTTAATTTTATTGATTATAGGATCCCAAGCAGGTGGTAGTACCCAGCCTCCTTCACTATTGAAATTAGGATGTTTTTTAATTTCAATAGCCTCACGTATCATCCTTGGTAGGAATCGGTGTTCTTTCGCGAGGATTTGTGGTCTATCAAATCTGATGTATTGGTTGGGGCCGTCTAGGATATGATCACAAACTGCAGACTTCCCGGAACGTTGATGCTTCACATCAGCTATATGTTCTTTTACGCGGGTCCTAATTGATCTTTTGGTTTGTCCTATATAAGAGAGACCACATTCACAATCAAGCTTGTACACTCCTGCATCTTGTAGAGGAATATGACACTTGACGGATGGTAGGAACTGACTAATCTTCTTCGGCGGCTTGTAGAATGTTCTAATAGAAGCTCGCTTCAAGATATAGCCAATCTTGTCTGTGACACCTCTGACATATGGTAGTACAGCAGGCACACGCTCAACTGTGGCCGGCTTCACTCGGTCACTGTGACGTAGGCGCGGGACCCGAAGCTTGTTGTCGTGCAGAACTTGCTTGACGTACTGAAGCTCGGCGGCCAGGTGTTTGCTGTCACAGATCCCTCGTGCTCTCTGTAACAAAGATTTGTCCACGGTAGCTAACTGTGAAGGATGGTGGTGAGATTCACCGTTTAAATATCGGTTTGTATGGGTCTTTTTCCTATACACAGTGTGACCAATGGTGTTATTAGGATTTCGGATGACTAACACATCTAGGAAAGGTAAGGAATTATTTGCCTCTAACTCCATAGTAAATTGAATTTTAGCGTTTATGGAATTAAGATGTTCTAAAAATGCAGTTACTTTGTCTGATGGTAAAATTGTGAAAGTATCGTCTACGTACCGCTTGTAGATCCTTGGTGTAACAGGTGCAGTAAGGAGGGCTTTCTCCTCAAAGTCTTCCATGAATATATCGGCAACAATGGGAGATACAGGTGAGCCCATCGCCACACCATCTACTTGCTTGTAAAACTCTTCCTTCCACAATAGATAGCCAGATGTAAGGCAATGTCTTAGTAATACTGCATATTCTGCTGGCATGTTATTTTCCTTTAGTTTCCTAGTTATAATTGAGATGCAGTCTTCAACAGGTAGGCATGTAAATAGAGACTGAACATCAAAACTGACCATGGTTTCATTGTCAGTAAGATGTAGGTCTTTTATCTCACTGACAAAATGGTATGAATCCTTAGTGTGTGCTCTTGTGTGTCTTTTGAGTGGTGATAATATTTTAGCTAAGTATTGAGCCAATCTGTAAGTTGGCGAATCAATCTGACTCACTATTGGACGTAATAAAGCATTCGGTTTGTGTATCTTTGGTAACCCATACAACTTCGGTGGTTTGGCACAGGAAGGTATTATCGAATTAACGTCCAGATTCAATTTTTCGGAGTATTTCTTAATTAGATCGCTAGTTGTTTTAAGCGTATTAGTTGTAGGGTCTGTTTTGACCTTTCGATAAGTAGTTTCATCCGACAAAAGTTGTTGTATTTTAAAATTGTAATCTGACGTATCCATTATAACCGTAGAATTACCTTTATCTGCGCGGAGAATCGTAAGCTCTGGTCTGTTGCGTAAGTTTTTCAACGCGTTAAATTCATTTTTGGGGAGATTTAATTTCGGCGCTGAACTTCGACGTAACATAGACGAGATGTCTTGACCTATGGCCTCTAAATCTTCATTACCAATATTATTTTTATACAGACAGTCCTCAACACTACAGATAATGTCCTCATACGGTATTTTTCGCGGTGTTATTGCGAAATTAATACCTTTTTCTAAAACTTTTATTGTGGCGTCGTCCAGTGTTTGTTTTGATAAGTTATAGACAGCGCGTTGTTTGTGATTCGTGTCTGTTGTCAACGATTTCGTATGTTGGACATTTGATTTAGTTGTTAATTTATGGTATTTATCAATGTGTTTATTTTTGCATTCATTGTATTTAGTTGTTTCGCGTTTATCTAAAGTTTCCATACAATTTTTATAATCAAATGTCGATAAAACTGTCTTTAATTCACTGGACGAATTGTCTATGGTTTTGTTTATGAAATATAGATCGGTACGTTTTTGCTGAATCACCGTTATTAACAACTTTTTACTAGCC